AAGAACATGTGGAACAGAAAACAAACAAGGCGATCAGGGCTTTATGGACCTGCAAACGCACTTTTGGAAAAACATGGGAAATTTCACCGAAGATGGTGTACTAGACGTACGTGGCCATTGTGAAACCCATAATCACATATCCCGCCTTCATATGGTGGCATAGAACCAAAATCAGCACACATCGATAGTCCCTGAACAAAGTTCAGAGGCTGGCGTGTCTCGGAATAACTGGAGCAAGGTCAACGACGACGACGGCCGCTATGGAGACACTCCTGGGGCTGGAGCCGTTGCATTTATCGATTGAAGCTGAGGCCCTAAGAAGCGCTTACCGTATGGGTGACGATGTCCTCAGGAAAGCGACGGATTTGGGACACAGTGTGATCTTCAGAAAATTGAAGACAGTCGAGCCCATGGGATCAAAAGCTGATCGAATCAAAACTCTAAGCATCTCTGTACCTTTTAGAACATATGTTCTAAATGAGGGGCGAGATGGTGGAGTCTCTCAACCATCTCGCCCCCCCAGAGATGTATTTGGCCAAACAGTAGAAAATAGATAAAAACCTATATATCTGTTCACTTACCTTGAAATACTCAAATCGTGGAATAACTCTAAATTTCTACTTGTTAAAGATGTTTTAAAGTAATAACTGAAAATGCTCAATGCACAAATGAAATGCAAATGAACAAGAACTTGCGTCTGATAGAAATAGTAACCAAGAAAAATGTCCTGGTCTGCCTCTTGCCTGGCTCATTTTCATAGGAGTGTTGTTTTGTGTGGTTCCACGGGGTTGTCCGTGGAATTTGAAATTGTCAGTGGAATTCGGTAGAAATTGAATCACTCCAGATGGTACGCATCTGGTAAACCATATTACATCACGGTTACACAACTCGCTGTCACCAAAAATTTGTTTTTCTGTTCTTCTTATGTTACATCAATGTTACGTAAAAGCGTTACATAAAATCAAAGCCACAAAAATTAAATTACATTTATATAATGTTACTAAGTTTAATTGGTTTGCTGGGTAGGTATGTTCCGAAATTTCCATTAGGTATTCTATGTTCCAAATTATATTGCCACAGTTGCTTCTTATTTGAAATTCTTATATGTAGCAGCTTTTGAACGGTCGCCAATTAATAAAGCTAAAGCTCGTGGAATTAAAAAAATGTATGACCTAAAAGAAATAATTAAAAGAGAAATAGATCAACTACAAATACAAAGTTACAAAAGCATTTAGGTTTCAACTTTTTGCACAAAAACTTTTGCTGATACAACAACAGAAAAACACAAAGCTCAGTAAATCGAATAAAATTTGTTACTTTTCAACCCCAACCCGAGACACGCTACACACTACAGTACTGTACGTACAATACTGTAAACCGCACGTACAAAAAATCGGAAATTTCGTGAAATTTCAACAAACTGTGTGTGTTGAATGATTCTTCAGGCATCTCCTCATCATCATTATGATCCATGATTTTCCAATCACTTTCTAAATAAGAAAATTACGAAAAAAATGTTTAGATTACGCGATACTTAATTGTTTAATCAGTTCAAATTGGAAAGAATCCATAAACATTTATGAAAGAATTACTGATATTTACCATTGTAGTTTGCACCAATTAAAGTGCCCATTCAGCCATTCAGCTAGTATAAAACATGTACAGTAAAGCATGTTCATGTTATCTGATATTAAAATGTGAACGCATCATTGATCTCAACTGTCACATAAAGTCGTCGGAATTAAATCCACTTCGAATGTTCATTACACACCAGCCAGTTTATATCGAGCATTTATTTAATGAGATTGGATTATGGGGTGCGTATTTATCGCTAAATAAACTAAAACTCATAATCGCGTCTACCGCATATTACCATGGATTGTTTCCAGTCCATCTATCGGAAATGAAATGTTCTGGCTTTAGCTAAAAATATTGGGTTACATATAAATAAAAGACAGATTTGTTATCGAAACGGATCAGATTGCCATTCCATTGGTTTTTTCCGTTTTTCCTCAGTTTTTCTTCA